TAAAATTAATATCTTTGCTAAATAGCTGTGTTATTTCAAGGAGTTTTCTGTAGWGATTCCAATCTGCATCAAAACAAATGACAGTTTTTCTCAATACTTTTGGTAGGATGAGATTGTGAAAATAATTTCTTTTTGTTCTTGTTTTGATTTTTAAATATAGCTCATTTGACCTAGATTGTATCTTTTGGTCACAGATTCTGGTACATTGTTATATAAAATTTTCTTTGAAGAAAATTGCAGTAACTTGTCCAAAGTCGATAGAAATATCCATATGAAAAGTTTATTTCCAGTTCTGGMAAATTATTTTGTTTAACTTATGCTCGTAAGTGTAAACTTTATCATATTTAAATATTCATATTCTCTGCATCCATATGCATTTCTGAATCCCACGGAGTTTCTGCTTTTGCATATTGTGGCAGTCAGTTCTTCAAGCAAATTCCTGTTTTTATTATATATATATTTATGTGTGTGTGTGTATATGCACAGAGAGACAGAAATACGTTAGTGGCATGATGCCCAACTTTGGCTGACAGCTGAAACTTTAAGCAGTGATAAGGAAAGCAAACTTCATGTTTCTCCTGCTAAGTGCTTTGTGCTCTGCATTTTCCCCATAAGGCTACTGCTTCTGCTCCCTGGCAGCAAATTATGTCCAGTTAACAGTAATTATCAGTCTCAGCAGGCTGTGGACTGCTTTACAGGGCGACTAAGAGCTATAAAATGCGCGGCAGGCCTGGCTTTGCAGCCGACATGTCGACAGCAGCGTGGCCGCGGCGGGGGCAGCCTGAGCCTGCACTGCAGTCCCAAAACCCCCAAACCCAAAAAGTTTGTTACAGAAACAGGACAAGGCAGATGACTTACTGCTCAGTTTCAAATCAGAATTGACCAAGAGCTAGAAATTTCCAATATGTGAAGTTAAATAAGGAGTTGAAACACAATTTATGAACGCAGCAGCTGGAAGGAGGAAGGAAACCTAGCTGAGGGTCTACCCTGAAGGGACACTTGGTACCTAAATTGGAGCCTCAGGCTCTTGGGCTTTCTGCTTGCTGCTGAAATGCAAGTTCACCTCTTTGGGGCTGCTTTTSTTGCTGACAGACCTTCTGGTGTATGGAGTCTTGGAACCAGCTAATGCAGAATTTGTTTAATGGCTGTTTAGTGGGCTTGGAAGTAAATTCAGTATCAAGTGGCAAGTGGGGATGATTTAGGTCCCCAAATCATATGGGGATCTAAAGTTACAGCACAGGAGAATCAATCTGCAGAAGACTCTTGGAGTTATTGCAATGAGTGGCATTGGGAAACAGGTTACAGATCAGTACCCTACCCTCTCCCCCCAAAAGGAAAGAACAACCTTGCTTAATTCTGTTACAGAGTACATTTTTGCATCTTTATCTTACTTGAGTCCTACAACTGCATCTGGATGTATGCAATGGCAGTTTTAAAAATTAACCTTGRTAAAAATTGCTACAGAGCTGAACTTATTCCCCTTTGTGGGGGGAATGAGTTGCTGCCCCGGTCATGTATTGCTGTGCTAGTGGTGAGTCCAGGATTAAAGCTGCCTTAGCTTTAATAGCACTGGTACTTTTTGAATTCTATGGTAATGAACATGATAAGAAGTGTTACAAAATATAAGAAAAACCTGCAGATGTGGCAAGAACTTGTCTGCTGCCTTTTTAAACATGGTGGAGTGTTCTCCATGYTGGGTAGCAGGCTGCTTAAGCTGCACCCTGGCCCTTCGGCAACAGAAAATCTCCACTGGTGAGTGGCTGGAAAGAAATCATGCAGACCAGCTATTGTTAACTGGTTATGCATTTTAATTGAGAGTCATATACCCCTATAGAATGGGTCTGTAGGGGAGAGTAAAGTGGGACCACTTGCTGTCAACAAGGGAAAAAGTAAATGCTTAAATAAGACTGATTTCTTTCTATTATTTTGTAAGCATGATAGCTTGTGAATGATGGTTCAATAGGAAAATAGCAGTGTTGTAATGAAAAATGTCATTGTCCCTGCCTTTGTTCTGCTTTATGGGTATTCTTTCCCAAATAACATTTCAAAATCTTTTAATGATAAAAGATACAGTAAAATGGAATGCTAACAGTAAAAGCAATGGTTATTCCTAATGGTAAGTACTTACTTTTGGCAAGTCGTAGGCAGATATAGTCTGTGTAGCTGCTTTTTTCTCTGGTCCCCTTTTTCAATGTTTTATGCTGCTCAGCCCCAGTATAGCTTGCTSATTAGGAAATAATATCTGTTATCGAAGCATTTTGAAGCTCATCCAGGAGGATGGGAAAGAAAAATTGATTCAGTGCTGATATCTGGATCTCACTGCACCTTTATCACTTTATTCAAATACCCTTTAAAATAAACTTTTTCCTGTCTCCCCAAATACCTAACAGAATCCCTTTGAATATCCAGAAGTTCCAAAGCATTTTTAAGTAACATATATTTATTTTCTTTGTTTTTTAACAGRCTGAACTGATCTGTTTTCTTTCTATTGTGGATATGTTTTGTACCAGTGTTTCCAGCTGTTTCCACCGTTTTCAGTCTGTGGTTTAAAACTTAAACTATGTCTATTGTTTCGCAAAGCGATGTGTGCATGACAAGTACAGTTAACTGTTCTGCGTCAAACTTTATGTTAAAAAGTCTTTCCATCCAAACAAGATYTTCACAAATAATAAGAGTCTTAAAAAGATTGTTGTCAAGTACAGCTAAATAAATACAGAGAGTTTGGATTGCCCAGGTCAGTAAGGATTTTGCTTGTAGATTATTATTATTTTTATTGTAGGCTTGCTGTTATGATACTTTGTTCCTTTAACTCAGTATCTTAGAAGAATTTCAAAACCTTCAAATTCTGCAGCTTGTATAAGGATTTAAATTTTGACTTATGCAGAGCTGTTAAGCATAATAGTACATGAACTAAATGGGTCTTGAGCTGATACTTTAATGTCATTGTTCTCCACTGACATCAGTGTATTGGACTTGCCGAGCAGTGTGCTGTGACAATATGCTTAGATTTAAACAATTACAGATAATTAGAGTGGTAAATGTCATGATGTACAAGTGCTAGTGAAATATGCTTTTAATTATTACTTTTGCTTTGTGTCATATTTCATCCCTTGAAGTCAGCAATACCCTCAAGATGCTTCATCCCATTCATGGAACTTTTCCACTCCCTAGTAATTATATGTAATTAATACCTTGCTAAAAAGTTGGAATTGCTTCATCTTGTCTTATTACCATTTCTTACCCATATATTTAAAATTACAAATTAGTTTTAATTAAAGTAAGATAATTCAAAGGTAAGATTAAACTTTCTCTTTCATCCTTTAGTTCTTTGTTTATTTGTTTGTTTTTAATGTGCTGGCTATGGATGTTAGAAAATAGTTTGAATTCTTCATAAAGAATATCCTCAGACATTCTCAGGAGGCCTCCTGAGCCTCAGGAGGCAGTGTACTTTTCCCTAAACATTTTTTGGTCATCGTTGATTTTAAACTCCTATTTCTAAGGAATGTTTTTAAGAAATGTATTTTGGGCAAATTTGCAGTTGTTTAGGTGGAAACTCTGAAAGAAAATTCAGGTCACGTGTTTTTATTTTTTCTTTGCAAACAATGTAAATAAACCCAAATCTCCTCAATTAGATATTGGACAGTAGAATCTGCGTCATCTCTAAGACCTTTAAGAATGAAGTGTCTCTACTCCTTTTACATTGAAAGCCTCGGTAGGCTTCTAAGGGCAGTTTTGTGGTGTCCATTTTCTAAAAAACATCTCCAGGAATATTATGAATTATTAAGCATGATATTTTTACTGCACAGCCTGTCTCATTCTTCTCAACACTGGAATTTGTGGACAACAACCCTGCTGTAAGGGATGGCTCATGCCTTGTAAAGTTAATTGTAGGCAATGGGTGTGTTAAGGGTGATGGAGCTGATACGGCCTATTTGCATTTTCATGACATGTTTGACTGCATCTTTCCTATTTAATAAACTGTTCAGTTTGGGGATGATATGGAATAGGCTAACATGAATCAGTTATTTCTTAAAAAATAGGAGATGGGATAGCAATAACTAATCAGTTTGTATAGCAGAAAATCACCAGTGCAGCTTTGAGCAGTGCCAGGACCTATGTAATTTAATTTTTGTTGTCCCAACCTGGACATGGAAGTAGATAGTCTGTAGCCTTACCGAGTACTTATCTGATCTTATGAAAGACCCTGACTTAAATTTTCGTTGCTTATTATGTATAATTACGTATAATTCATGCATCCAGACAGACAGTTCAGCAGTATGMGAATAGACTAGAACTGTCACGGCATTTTGAGGTTGTCTTCTCTGAAAAGGCCCTGTTTCCTGCTTTAGGACTTAACTATATTTTTGTACAAGAGATTCTGTTCCCCTAGTAGTCCTCCAGTTCTTATAATTACTAACTRTAGGATACCAAGCTGCCTAGATAGGGCATTTGGAGAAAAGAATGCCTTTCCTAGCCAACTGTCTGGCTGAGGATAGAAGAACTTTTGTGCCTATCTTTTCTTTTTCAACTGGGAAACAGCATGAAACTTCTTGGTTTTATTCTCTAAATAACTGGAGAACATGGCAAAACATTTTGACACTGGCAAAACATTTGACGGAAATACCAAGGTAGTATTTTTTTCACTAGTTTGTTTCCCTCTGACACCTTAATTCTACCAACTATTTTTCATGAATGTAACATCATACTGATTTAGTCAAGCTCATAAAGGTGTAGCAAGAGACTGGCATTACCTAATTAGATTCTTTTATAGTCTTTATTTAATCCCATACAATTTTACTTACTAGTTAGAATTAAGCATAAGCATTTTGGAAGGGTTTCCCCCCCCCCCCCCCCCAATCTATTCTGAACCTCCAACACTTACCATTCTGGACAGGAGTGTTGAGAAGTAAGATTTAATTAATGAAAAAAGTGGGTTTTTTTACTTGAAAGTATATTTTTAAGAGTAATTAAAAATATTTATTCTTCTTTAATTACAACAGTGTTCTGACTATGACCTGGATTATGGAACTGAATGTTTGCATCTCGCGCTGAAGTACTCTAATGTAAAGGCCAAACTTGTTGAAGGAACAGCTGACCTCTGGAAGGTAAAGGGGTTGTTAATTTTTATTTTTATATGCTTATTTTAAATGAATAAAAGTAACATGATCAATAAACTTAATCTAAAAATGAATCTTTGAAAGTGTGTTAAATTTTATTATTTGGGCTTTTCTTTTCCAAATTTCCAGATTTTTGAATATACAGGATTGTTTTGTGACAGTTGAGTTTGGCTTTCCTTGTGTGAATCCTTAGTTGCTCAAAGAACTGATTCAGGAGCTGGAGAAATTTTCCTCCAACCTCTATCATCTACCTCCACCATTTTTCAGGGAGACTGGTAGTAGCAGCTTTACTGTCTTGAAGATGGAAGCCCGTTAAGGATACGTCATGGTTAAGGTCAGGAGAATGCAGCATTCAGTGCTAGGCCATGGAATGAGGAGCTAGTAGGGTCTATGAGGGTAAGTGAGAATCCTTCAGAGTAAGGGCAGGAGGCTGAGTGGCCTCATCAATAGATGAATTGAAGAATTCCCAGTGATGGTTATTTCTTACTGCTTGCAGTGCTGTAAATGCAACTTTCATGCATAACAASAAAAGAAACAGTAGGTGTTTTTAGAAATGTAACATAGAAGTATGGACCTGAGTCTAGAATGTAATGTGGAGAGATTTACAGACTTTTTTTTTTAATGGATTTTAATTCAGTTTTACCTGGTAGTGTGGAACTTCTAGTCTCTTAAATCCATTCTGAAATTTGGAGGCCATTTCACAGGAGTACATCTCTGTAAAAGTGTCAGCTCTGAAAAGCTTCTACTTTAAGTGCAGCTCAAAACATTTTTTTCACAGTGGCTTGAGAATAACATTTCTTCCTTTAAAGTATTAAGCATTCTATGCTTGAAAAAATCAGCGAGCCATATATGTTAATTAGTGATGTATTTTCCTTTACTTTTTTGTTTTCTGAATTCATCCTATTATGTCTGGGTATTTATGACACAAGGAAAATGTGTTTTGGTTTCAGAGAGATAAAGTAATTGTTGCAGAAACTGACTTCCTTTGATGAAGCAGTTGAGCAGAGATTATGACTTCTACAGAGTATGKTTTTATTTTTTGTTATCAACATCATCTCCTTAGAGGCTAAGGTCAGGTATTCCCTGCTCTGAAGAATATCAGTTAATATCTTTTTTACAAATGTTGTTAAATACTGAACTCATAAAATCAAGGAAATGAAACCAATGATACTGTGCTTGATGTGAAACTACAAATAGAGCAGTACAGGTATTCAGAAAAATAAGCAAATGTGTTCATTGGCCTCAAGAGTTGAGTAAGTCAAATTAATACTACAGATTATCGATGCTCATCATTAAACTGAAGTTTCTTTCTGTCACGATTGCCTGTCTATTGAATAAGTCCAATCTAAATTGGACCTCCAAGTTGATGTGAGAAAATCCACATGAGAGGGTTCAGTCTCCTATCACAAGAGAAACTTTGGTTGGATTGAGTGTCATGTCAAGAGAGATGGAGAGATACTGTCCCTCCYAGATAATTCATGGCTGCCATCTGTGGTGCTTTTTTTTTTCCTCTATCCAATTTACTATTTTCATATTTTCATTTTCATATAGTAACTTGTATCTGAAATTTCTAACTCTCTGACAAAATAGATTGAAATTAGTCTTTTTAGACTCAAAGGTTATCAAGGAAATAGATGTGGATKGTATGATGTTGTCTCATGTTATTTATTTCTGTAGGAAATCAGTCTGAAAAGTATTTTTTGATGTCTGGCTGTGAATCTCAGAACTGTTTTTAAGAACTAAAGATTAAAAAGGGAGCCTTATGTGCTGAGCACCTGTTCTCTCCCTCCACCAAGGAAGAACCTTTAAGAGAATTTTGCTAAGTATTCTAAGGAGAGGTTTGATATATTACTTGCTAAAAGTTCCAAATGGCAAATTTGGACCCTCTCAGTTCTCTCAGAAATCAAAGCTTTCCATTATTATTGAATTTCCAAAGATGTTACAGGAAAAAAAAATCAGAAGAGATGACATTTATATAGAATGAAATGCAGAAAATCTAATTTTAATTACWAAATTGTGTGAACTTCTAGCTGGAAGTTATAGCAACAGCAAAGATAAGTGTTTAGCAGCTATCAGGTGTATCACTCCGTATCCTTGAAGAACAGCAAATTTGAAGTACATAACTAGCAAAGGCTCTTACCGTCTTAACTATTTTTTATGKTTTTTTTTGTACCAAGACTATTACTGTAGTTGTCCACCAATGCAAAGCACAGTACAAAGGCAGATGCAAAAAATGTTTCCCAAAGGCACCAGATAAATATTAGCAGCTTATTGTTCATTTAACTTGATTTATTTATTCAGAGGCACTTTGTGGTGGGTACTCATACCAATACCAACTACTCGTGTCAGGTCTATTACCGTTCTCTAGCCTAGTTCTCGCTGATCAGCTGGCCTCTCAGTAACAATAAGGGTCTTACACTGCCTGAATAATCAGACCTGTATTAGACCTTTGAATAACCAGACTTCTCCCTGGCTGTGATTATGATAACAGTTTCTTTTGAAGATTAGTCTTTCTCACGATAAAAATTAAAGAGTAAAATACAGTTTCCTAAGAAATTCTGAAAATGGTTGTGTGAAAATAGGTATGATATATTTTAAAAAGATAACTTAAAGGGTTAAAAATAGGTTTAAAATGAGTTCTAAGAAGATCTAAGTGTTTTTTTTTTTTCTTTTAAAACACATTTCTCTGGAGACTCTAGTAATTTCTGCAACTTTTTTTCTCAGGACTTGCCAGGGATATTTTTCCATGATTAAAAAATTGACAATATCATTTGTTTATGGTGTTTCAAATGCGAAGAATTGCCTTCAGGGCGTTGTTTTATTGGTTTTACATTCCTTCCTGCTGTGTAAAATCTAATGAGGTTTATCTGTCCTTTAGGTGACCTACAAGCGGGATCTGTATGCAGCTGAATCGATYATTAAGGGTATGTGCTCATCCTTGTGGCTGTCAGTTTGCATAGTCCGGAGCATAATTTAGAGTTTTGTGTGCTGTTGTTTTAAATGCCTGTAAGAAAAGTTTAATGATGACTAAAATGTGCTTTGGCAAGTTGTTTTAACTTGTTTTCTTATTATATATCATGCATTATTTACTTACCTTATTTACTTTGCTGCTGTTAATAAAGGGCATATCATAAAGAGAGTCAAATAGAGATTAATTTGAATGGTTTTATAGCAAATAAATATGTTCTTGATTCTTAGCACCAGTTCAATTCTGAATATTTTGCAGCTTTCTGAGCTAAGTAGTAAGCTGAAAATCATATATCAACTCTTAACGCTCTTATATGTACCTTATATGCAGTGGCTTGTTGCCTAAATTGATAAAGCARTACATTGATAAAGCAATGATACATTGAAGTATTTAGTTAGTTTGGAAATACTTTGTTGTATTGTTTTTAACCTTTTCCTATACCATCATGGTGGGTTATAGCACTCCAATAAGAAATAATCTGGAAAGAGACAAATCGTAAGTACTGTWTGTTAACACTCTGGTTATTCTGAAATGACTACTTTTTGAGAGCTGAGGCATAAAAGCCCAGAAACAAATGAGTGGAAAGGGACTTTTGGGAGGCTAAACATATCTTTTTTTTTAAGGAAAAAGAGTTAATGTTTCCTGTTTAAGAAAAAACAGTGTAAAACTGTCTTACTAGACGCCACTTTAGTGGTTCATTTATTGGTACAAGATTCAGTATCCGTTCTCATTTGAACAAATTAGTCCATGCTAAGCTCAACACTGTTACGCTAGACCAGCTAGCTAGCATAATCACAGCTCAGATCTTGCCCTAGTGTGCTGCACACTTCTATGCTTTTCTGGAATTGTTTTCAGACTTAATTTTGGTAATTTGAGAAACAGAATTCCAGGGATGCAAATAGTTTGAAGTTTCCAAGTGTTACAGTGAACAAATACTGCATAATATGATATACAAATTGCTAAAACTGTATTACTGAGTCTTGTAGTGGACTGTTATGGAGAAAGTAGCATTGGAGAAACTTCAACAAGTTCTCATATTAAAAAGAGGTTGGCTTTTGCCTCCAGAGATGGCAGCCTGGGATTCCTGAAAACCTTGTTGTGAGGAGGATTCTTAGAGGTTCCCAGACTCCCATATGTTTCAAGCGTAGGACTTCCAAAGATATTAAAGACAAGATGATGATAAGGAATATTCAGCAAGGCTTTATGAAAGGGAAATTATACTTGACCAACCTGATAGTCTTCTAAAATGAAAAGTCTGGCTCAGTAAATGAAGGGAGAGCAGTGGATATTGTTTATCTTGATTCCAGCAAGACCTTCTGGATTGCCTTTTGTCAAATCTTCTTTGAGAAGCTGATCAAGTACAGGCTAGGAAAATGGACAATGGGCTGGATTAAAGACTAGCTGAACTGCTGGGCTCAAAGTCTTGTGATATGCAGTGCAAAGTGTAGTCAGTGGCCCAGTGTGATACTGGGCCAGGGCTCTTTGTGAATGACCTTGTTGGTGGGACCCTGAACCCTCAGCAAGGTGAACAGTGAATGAGAACACAAAAAACATTCTGGGGCTGGAGCATCTGACCTGCTTTTGTACCCTCAGAGCCTGAGGGAGCTGGAATTGTTTAACCTGAGAAAGGGAAGGCTCAGGAGGGTCTTACCAATGTGTGTGAATACCTGATGGAGGGACCAAAGAAGGTGGAGTTCAGAAATTCTATCTGAACATCGGAAAAGCCTGGAAATTATTGGAATTCTCACGTTTTCTGTCACAAAGCTGGGAGCTTGTTTTCATAGGAACAATTCCTTCGGTTGAGACTAAAGGAATATTATTGAATTACTTTATTTTTTGAAGCATTAATATTTTCTTAATAGTATTCTTAACATTTTCTAGCTTTTAGGAAGCTTTGAAAATGGGGATCTGGTCTGACTTGAACTTATTAARAAAGAAGTCAGAATATTTAGTTTTCCATTATTTGTCCACTTACTTTTGAACAGTATAGACCTTGTTAGATATTTATAAACTTTATGCAAGCAAAATTCTTTCTGCCGTTAAAAGTTTTTCCCAAATAAGATGTAGATAAGTTCTTAATTCAACTCTGTGGTTAACAAAATAATTATTAATGTTACAAAATTCATGTTTCTTTGAAAAAAATTAGTATTTTCACTTAATTTTAGATGAACTGTGCTTGGATAAAACAACTCAATTTGAATATAAATTTTTAAAGCATATATTGTTGTTAGACTTGATGGGAGCAGAATGGCTGATGTGATTACAGTTAATGGAATACATCAGTGATGTCATGTCACTGTATGTTTCGTTATTTTATCTATAATATATATATCTATATCAAGGACCTGAACTAATACTTTAATAACAGTTCAAGACAAATGAGAGTTTGCAATCTTTAAAATTATGTTTTCTAGTCTAAATATAGATCCCATTTCACTGTTCATTATGCATGTCTATAACTAATAATCTGTCTTGACCTTAGCTGATGATCTGTCTTGTCCCATTGATTTAATTTCTGTGCTTGTAATCAACTAAATACATAACTTTTTGCAGAGTTTTTTTWAAATATCTTCTGGGACCTGTCAGAATCCAGTTTGTTTCATTGAGGAATATGCATTTTGGCAATGGCATTACCTCCATAACAGGAGCTCTACCGAGCTCTACCGAGCTCCTGATTGTAAAGTAGCGGACTTTTGCTTTACTAATACAGATTCTTTCTAAATCTGAAGTATAATCAGTAATTTTTAATATCACGTATAAAGGAGAGACTTTCWAAAAACAGTTTCTTGTGGCAATGTTAATGAGGAAATGCATAAACCTCATACAACCATCTAGATGTACTGTTTTGTAACAGTAAATACATTTTCCATAAAAAGAATGAATGCAGTTCGTCATTCATGAAGCCAGCCACGCCGGTATAAAGGATGTGAATGGCAGGTGAGCCTGGAGGAGCCTGCAACTTCCAGAATGGCGTATTTAAAGCTACCTTTCCCGGTGGAATTTCCTGCCTTTCGCATTGCTGTTAGCCCTCTCTTGCTTGTTCTTGGCGCTGGTGACCAGTCTGCCTGTAGCCCTGCGGAGCGGCGCTGGCAGCAGTCTCTGTGCAGGTGCTTAGCTTGGCAGCCCTCAGCGAAACTGCTGCTAGGGCCCTCCTACCAGCATGGAGAAGAGGTGCCTCTTGCTGGCACCGCAGGCCGCTGTGGATCCCGTCGGTGTTAACTGTGGGATGGTGCTGTGCTAATGTAAAAGAGAAGGTGATAGTTCTTCGTGACAAGCGTGTGCAGAGGACGCCAGGACTGAGAAGTAGGATGGTGCAGCGCATTGTGGAGCCCTATATGGCAGAGCTGAGCTCAGATCCAGGTCACACRGAGCGCCTGAAGGAGCAGCCCTGCCTGATGCTGTTAGGCCGGGAAGCGGGATACCAGCACTCGGCATCCCGGCTGATCTGCTGCCGGGTGGCCCTGGGAGAGCCCCCAAAGCCAATTAGTGTGGGCAGGCAGGGAATAGGTAACGAGGACACTCTTGAAGTTCTGGCTCCCTGCTTGAACTTTCACAACTGATTTCTTCATCACATTTACTTCTCTGGATGCTTATTTTATTGATGGCCAAGCTTATGAAGTGTTATTCATCACATTCCTGTTATCTACAATTTATTTTATTAGTGGAACAAACTGTGATTTCCCTCTATTTCAGACACTGACAGTTATCTTTTCTCTCAACCTGTTTATTTAGAGAGAAAATCCATTTAAACTATACTAAAACCTATAATAAAAATATTAAGATCATACTTGTGACTGAGGACAGTTTTGGTTTTGAATTCCTGTTTCACTTTTTCTGTGTTACTTTGTTATTATTTCTGAGGTATTGTACTTGTGTAGTTTCTTCAAATATTAACTTACAATTATGCACTTAATCAAATTAAATAAAAGAAAAATGCTTATAGCAATAAAATGATGTTTGGAAGAAAAACCCCAAACCTGCAGTTCTTCATCTGATTTTAATTCACAGAATCATAGAATGGTTGCAGTTGGAAGGGACCTCTAGAGATCATCTAGTCCAGCCCCCTGCTCCAGCAGGGACACCCAGAGCACGGGGCACAGGGCGGYATCCAGGCGGGTTTGAAGATCTCCGGAGAAGGAGACTGCACAGCCTCCCTGGGCAGCCTGTGCCAGGGCTCTGTTTATGTGGCTATGGCTTTGGTCAGCTACATTGCAAATATAGTTCTAAATAAGTAACAAGTACCAAATGCTTCACAGAGCACAGCTAGATTTTTAACTGCCTGCCTAATGAGTATTAATAACAGATAAATTTCAGCTTACTAAATTTTACTCAGATATAGGTAAGAAAGCATACATGCATACTCAAGTGTGTGTGTGTATGTGTATGTGCATATAGCATACTTAAGGCAATACAAATAAACTCTTTATAATGTATAAATGAGCTATGAGTATAAYGAGCTATTTATCTTCTGAGCCTCGTTTCTTAAAACATGACTCCTTATTAATTTGCTTCCTCAAGTCTTTCTTTTACAACTGGTTATGAAAGTCTCAGAATCCTAGCATCATTCTTTTTTAATAGTGCATTTAATGCTTTCCTTTCTTTCAGCAGGTATGAACTTGTAGAGTATACAGACAAGGTGGCACATGCCTATTTTTAATAATCTGAAAGTAAGAAAACATTGTTTTCCAGTAAGAGTGACTCATCTGGAAATGTAGTTAAAATCTTGCTAATACAAAACATCCTAAGAAATTTCCATCAGGACTATTGCCCTCAGGGTTAATATCTTTGAACTCTAGTTTAGTCATATAAACTTTAAACGTAACTTCTTAGTAGAACGTTATTATTTAAAGTTTGACTCTCTGTTTTTTCTTCCTCATTTTAAAGAATTTGTGGCTGTCCTGTACTATGAAGCAATGAAATGCAGGTGGGGGAAATACACAGCTCATAATAAATATT